CACAATACTTCATGTTCCATAGGTAGGGCCTGCAAACTACTGCCACCTGTTTTTGTAGATAAAGTTTTACTGGAACACAGCCCTGTTCATTTGATTACTACTCCTCTGTGGGCGTTTTCTCACTGTAAACCGCAGGCGTGAGTAGTTTCAGCAGAGACCATATGACCTGCCAAGCCTCCAGTATTGGCCATCTGGCCCTTTATGGAAAAACATTGCAGACCCCTGCTCTATAGAATTTCAACTTTGTTTCACAGACATTTTGTATTTTATAGAAGAAAAATATTCCAAGGTGGGAATGGAGGCAGTTTTTGGTTTTGGGAAATCACACTCTTTTGGTGGTAATGGGATTGTGAAGACACACATTGCGTCTCTCGGGGGAGTTTCCATAGCTGCTGTGTTTCCCAGTGCTCACACACCTGTGGTCTGTGGGTACCCAACTCCAACCTGAACAACAGGTGTGAGAAACATCCCCGTCAACTGGAATGGTGTGAGATCTAATAATTCTTGGAGAAAAGTAATTGGGAAAGAGAATGGATTGCAGTGGGTGACCCATCCAGATGTACGTGGTTCCCCAGGGGTGGTGGGAGATAAATGCTCTAGGGACAGCCTTTTGATGGTCACCTGGAGGCAGATTTCCATACTCATTGGCCTAAAAGTCTTCCAGTGAGGCAAGAATTCTTCCAGATACACAGGCTGGGCAAATCTAAACAAATCTAAAATTTTACAACCTACCAGGAAGGCATAGTTTTGTCAGGGGGCGATTTCTGGTGAGCAGTTTTGGTTTGCCAAATTATAACAGTTGACCTTTTATCTCAATTCAAAAAATTCAAACAATATGGATATATATATAGAGAGAGAGAGTAAAAAAAATGAAAGTATGTCTCCCTCCAACCAGCCATCCATCCCACTGTCCAGATTTAAGATATGTAAGGTTGGCAGTGTGGGTCTCTGGGATGTTTTGGGACTGGCTTAAACTTTTCAGCTTCCTGCTTTCGCAATTTGACTTGGTCTGTAGCATCTCAGGGTGGCCAACACCCTAGTAGGGTAGAAAAAGCTCAAGCCCTTTGGAGAGAATTAAGACCCAAACTCTGAACTGTCGGTTCCTATCATACAGTCATAGCAGCAGCCTTGGGCAATGGAAGGACAGGGTTGGAAAGCAGACTGGCTTGAGTTGAAACTGGATTTGAGCTCTCTCCTTTGTGATCTTAGGAAATTTACTCCTTCTGGACACTCAAATCTCTCTCGACGGATCCTTGTGAAGTTACAAGGAAACAGATATAGGCTTGACAGTTGGAGAGACCAAATATACAAATGTTATGATGCAAGTGAGGTTAACGTTAATGGGACTGCATAGCATGCTGGGTAATGGGGCAAAGAGCTGGGCAGGAGAGGGGAAGTGATATCTGAGCAGAATTGTGGAAGAGGAGTGGGAGTTTGCAGAGGATCTGGAAGGGGTGGAGGCATGAGGGTAGAGGACTCACTTGGACAGAGGTACAGCTGTGTGGGGCAGCATGGTGTGTGTTAGGGACCATGGCCAGATTCTGAGATGGATGCAACCCGGGGCCTCACTTTCATTTGACACAGGAATCCTTTCAATAACCTGAACTCTCGAGCAGCTCCTCTCTCCCTCTGCCCCTTTGCACATGACAGTCCCTCTGCTTACAGTGTCTTTCTCCTGCATTTCTTGCTAAATTACACCATCCTTCAGGCGTCAGCTTAAGTGCCACTTTCTCAGTAAAACCTTCCAAGCCAATGCTCCTCCCCCATGTTCCCTCCATTCTTATAGAGGGTGTCCTTTCCTTTCATATCATCTCCACATTATAATTATGAAGTCATCTCATAACCTCCAAGTCTGCTCTATACTCCACTGGGTGTCCTGCTCCTAGTCCAGTACATGGTACATCTAGGAGCTTTATAGCTGTTTACTGAGTGAGTGCATGAGTGAATGAGTGAATCCCTCCTTCCCAGTTATGACACCAGCCTATTTTTCTAACCTGAACAGCAGGTGTGACTAGTGGCCTGGTCCATAGATCTGTACACATTGAAAGGAAATTAATTAGAAGAAATATTTTAATATTGTTATTTGCCCTTTCTCTATAATAGAAGTGTCAACCAAATTCACGATCGACAATGACAGATTGAAACACACACGTGTGATTGGCACCAATGAGAGCTTTATATGTATCGCAGGTGCACAAGTCAACTTAGCATTTTATATACATAGAATAAACTTGTGTAATTATACCTGCTCTCTGAAGTAGCTAAACTTTTTATAGCCAGTGAAGCACCCCAGCTTCTCTTTCAGGTAATAGTCAGCAACACAGCAATAATAAATATCAACACAAAGCAGATTATTATTGTAGATCACGCAGGGAGAACAAAGGGTAAAATTTAAACTGCAGCAGTGTTTGACTATTCTGTGCAATGAGAAAACCTGAAGTCATTTTCAATGTCTACCATTTCTTACTTCTTTTCAGTCGGATCAAGTTTCTAAACTTTCTAAATCTCCATTTTCTGGCTAATGAAAAGAAATAGGATTCTACTGAGTCTCCTATCTACCTACTCCAGGACTTCTGTGAGGATCAAATGAGATGAGGCACGGGAAAACGCTTCACAGACATTTTGTTAAATGTGAAATATTTGCACCTGACTATGAAGCAAGTTCTGTTCCTGGGCTGAAGAAACTGCAAGGAGGCTAGTCGTTGCTAGGGAGAGGAAGCTGGGTGTTGCTACATGACGTATTACCCAGATGGTTGGACACTTAGCATATTAGCCTTTTATATATATAGATAACCACAAACCTTGTATTGTTTCCTGTGGCTGCAATGAGAAATTACCACAAATTTGGTGCCTGTAAACAACAGGAATTTATTCTCATAATTCTGGAGGCCAGAAATCTGAAAGGAAGGTGTCGGCAGGATGTGC